TTTCTTCTTTTCTATTCTATAGGAGCAAACGAGCAGACGGATCATCTGATGGTAAGTGATTACCGCAACACATGAAACTGAACACTTAAAATCAAATGTCACAAGGCGGTTGCAGCCTTTTGATCCCCTCCCCAAATCAGGGAGAGAGCAGGTTTGGGGTTTCGGTAACCTTACTCACTCGGTAACGACTGCACGGATGGCGTAGTGGTTTAAGCGATCGCCACGCCGGTTACTACTACGCTGAGTGTTGTGGTTTCGATCCCCACATGGGACTACACTTTGTGTGACCCATAAATTATTGTTCTGAGTCTGTGTGTTCTTTGTGTCCGTTTGTATGTATGTTTGTGTAGTCTGACGCGAAATAGAATATATTCCTAAAGCGGGAGTTTTCTTTTAAAAAAAGAAAAGAAATGTTCTGGAACCCACCTACTTGACATGACCCTAACTGTTAAGCCGGAGGTCGTAGGTACGATTCCCATCAAGGACAAACATTGTGTGATGAACACGATCATTTGTTCTCTGTATATGTGTAATTAATCTATAATATGTATGTAATTAGATATATATGTTAATATTTTTATCAGCAGTCTGGGTATCATAGCGCAGGCTCTGCCCAGTTTGGGATTAGAAAGCCATATGTAAGATGTGGGAGGTAATTTATTATATTATTATTATTTTCACTGAGTGTTCTATTTATACCTAAGCATGACTCTCCCGCATATAAAAACAGGCCAACCAATATCAATTCACTCAACTGAAAATACGTACAAATATTTCAAACATTTCATGTAACGAAAAATGAGATAATTTATCCATAGATGTTTTACCTTCACCTGCGTGGTTGAATATTGTATATGATACCAACCCTACTACATCGTAGGGCTGTCAAAAAAAATTAATTTAAACTCCAAAAGTAAAGCCTCTCCCATTCCACCAATAATTGGTGCTATCAACGTAAAAGAACGTAAAAACAAACATCGGTACCCTTGTCAATGTCCAAGTGATGCCTACTTTTAATTTGATGCTACGTTAAATTCGCGTTGTCACAGTTCTGTGATAGGAAGGCTCGAGTTTAGTTCGTACGACCAACAAACTTGGTACACTTCAATCGTATGTGTTTCATCATCATGGTATGTGTTTATGTTAAACAAATTGAAACTAGAAAAACATGTTATCATAAAGAGGTATATTAGGTCTTTACCTATGAAATTGCCGTTTTGTATGCAATAAGTGAAAGTACTTATTTTTTCAAACTTTTTTATTTCTGTTATTCAAGAGCTGGGGTTGGAAGCTATCCCTCATCCGCCATACTCACCAGACCTTGCACCTACCGACTATTACTTTTTCCAAAATCTAGACAACTTCTTAGTGGGTAAAAAATTCAATTCCCGAGAGGCAGTACAAAATGTCTTTGAAGAGTTTGTTGCCTCCCGTCCAGCTGATTTTTACAAGAAGGGCATCAATAAACTGCCAATGCCTTGGCAAAGATGCGTCGATTGCATGGGTGATTACTTCGAATAACAGAAATAAAAAAGTTTGAAGGAATAAGTACTTTCACTAATTGCATACAAAACGGCAATTTCATAGGTAAAGAGCTATTATAAATTGTTACTAATAATTGGGATCAATACCTGTTCATCACATCACATAAACAGTAGTGTAATTACCTGTAGTCCCAGGCATATCTGGGATGTGTAATTCAAAGAACATACAATTTAGGTAACGTTAATTTTCGTTTATTAGTAATAATTGTACGAGTATATTATGAAATGCAAGCAATCTTTTTATTTCTGACCAGGCCCAATGCCTCTAGAAGCTGTTAGCCAGCACCTTTCAATCTGCCCTATCGCTACTACCGCGGCTTGATGCGATTAGGCCGCCACCCCATCCCCTACCGCAGTACCTAATCTGTCGCCTGGGGTCCCCACTCTCCGGCGGTCGGTGTTGATGACTGTGACGTCTTCTACGATCAGAAGGCCAATTCTCGTAATAAAAATTCGCTCAAAATTCAGTTCTGATCAACTGACGATCTCGCAACTATCATAAAGGGTATTTTTGTAGTAAAGTATTACTAAGACTAGCAGATAACTGATTCAATTTTCGGTAATAATCACATCACAGTCAAAGTTGGATATTTAATACTTCACTACAAAAATACCTTTTATGACAGTTGTGGTAACGAGAGTTGATCGAAACTGAATTTTGAGCAAATTTTTATTACGAGAATCGGCCTTCTGGGCAATGGCTCCATAACAAACTTAGTTTTTTGTGTCTCGAAGATATCTTCAAGTGTTAAATCAATCTAGTAATTGCATGATGGCACTTGAATACGATGTATTTGTAGCGTGCCGAAAATGTTAAGGTATTTTCTATTAGGCTAAGGTAAAAAATATATATATTTATTAAAACGAGAAAATTATTCAAACAGCGGAGTTATAAAATTTATGAAAGTTATGAAAGTTTTTCTAAGACTGTAAAATATTCAAACTTACGAATATCAAATAAAACATTTAATATTTTTTACTTGAAATTTATCACTGTTGCAAACATTTATTAGCGAGGTTTCTTTAAATTTATTTTACACTATAAAAGAAAGAAATATTAAAGTACAACATTCATTAATTTGTGAGATAAAAGTTTCTAGTACACCGTTTGCTTGAATTCATTAAACAAAAGTACAAAAACGATTTATAGATTAATTCTTGTTTCACCACTGTGTACTACAAATGAATGCATTATATTTAAAAAAAAATGTAGGCATCAGTCTAATATGAATCGGTTAGATTTGCCTATTTTAATACTTATTTATTTTAGTTATTTATTTATTTTAGGAAAGCTCACAGACTAATATTAACATACACAGCTGAGTAACGCTTAAATTGCTAATAAAAAGCTTCCACATATAAATAACCTTCGAATAATGAACCACAGTCATACACAATATTTCCAGTTAATCTAAATAGCAAGTGTCAGCAAAAAATAAAAACCAACAACTCAATTATAGGCAACACAATTAAAAAAACATAATAATTAAACAGATAAACAAGGAAATTCAGTAGGTATATCTACCGGTCGCTGCCAAAGTGAAATACGAAATGGATTACTTTTAAGTTAGTTATTAAATACTTGTTTACTTTCTACTTTTTAACCTATGTTCAAATCTATTATGTACAATCCAACTGCTTAAAGCTATACCAGGTCTCCAATATCAAACCTAGTACCGAGAGGAATAGCATAGCCAGTATTCAAATGACTGGTAAAAAGTCTTGGCCCTCATTTCTGTTTATCTCGTCCTGTTCGAGATAAATGCGAAAAAAGATGAGTACGTAAAGTTACCGTCCTTTACGTAGAGACATCTCATCGTCCGAATAACGCTGCTAACCTTGCGAATAAATTTACTTTTACCTGTCTACAATCAAATACTGGCCTTTTTTATATATATCAATTGGCAGAACAGTAACAACGCTAGTGCTTGACTGACTATTTATATATTATATTAAATTTATGTAGGTTTATGTATGTATGTGTGTTTATATATTGTGTATGTCTCTGAACTTCAAATTTGATAAATTTAATAATTTATTTTGCACCTACCGCATCATATTTCTACATCACCTGAAGGTTGACTGGAAAAGAATGCCTATTGGCATAAGTCCGCCTTTGTACAACATGTACATTAAGTTTTAAAATAAATAAATATATGTACTAACTACCTAATGTAAAAAAATATTTACTTTAGTAAATAAGATACACGTTACATTTAGAAAATAAAATTACATTTTGAAAACAATATATTAAGCTACGTACCTCGCAGCTAGTTCATTCAAAGTTCAACGCGTATTCATTTTATTTTTGTACAAGCTTAGGGATTACTCGTACATAAAACATTTTCATTCATTTGTCGCAAAGTATCCCGTCGTTATGAATCAGAGACGACATGGCGACGGATACACAACAAACATAATTTACGAGAAGCAACAGTAATGAGGTTTTACGGTGGCTCTATTTGTATCCGTGAAATTATTTTGTTTCCTCCTTAAAAGATACTGAAATTTAATTTAATTTAAAAAATTATACAAAGCAGGACTTAAGCAAAGTTGATCCACAAGCGAAGGAAAATGCTGATATTTCTCTAAGTCATGTGATCAGCACAAAAACTCCTTAAAATCCTAAGTGATCTAATTTTTTTGTGGCATATCGATACAACTGCTTCCTTTGTATTGTATTAAATTACACCAATTTCTTTCGTTTCTTTGCTATTATTTTGTTTTGTTTCATTGGCTTATGACAACATAAGTCGTGCTATTTATTTACAGTATTACTTGCACCATCACTGCTTTTCCTACAACGAGATGTTAACATCTGTACTGGACATGTGGCACTGTTAAATTTTGCTCAATATTTACCTAAAAGTTAAGTGATACAAATACTTTTATTACTTCTTATCATTTCATAAAGAACACGAGGAAGATCCTTACAAACTTTAGCATTTAAAGCCAGTTATAGCTATTTTTTTAACTATTCCAAGTTCGTTAAAACAGTTCTTAGAACTCTTTACAGAATATTGTATAAATCAATTAAACACTGCTATGTTTGCTGCTGCTAAAGAAAATACCTTTGTAACATATTGTTTGTATCTATCAGTAACTACATATTATGTTTTGTTAACTATAATTTTGTCTAGAATAGTACACATGTTGTTGTGATTAGGAGAGAGTTCTGGGACCCATAACACAAGTTAAATGTTAACATACCAATGTGTTTTAATTAAATAATAAACAAAATGTATTGTTGGTATTACCTCTTTGATGTAACTTAAGATCTGTGTATAGAAATAAATAATTAATTATTAGTATGGGTCACACTTATTTAAAAAATCCAGTTAATAGAATAAAAAATATTCAACTTCTATTTCATGTTTTGTCAATAAAACTGTACTAAACATAGTTTTTTTTTTGTTACAGGTAATGTTCCAAATCAATCAGATGCCTTGAGGCAATATGAACGTCAGAAAGCGTTTAGACGTGAGGCTGATCGCCTTATGCACTACTTGCCTCCTCCTCCCAGCCATAGCCTGTCCATCACAGTGCATATGCAAGTGGAAGAACGGTAAACGTTACGTGGAGTGTTCAGAGAAGGACCTCAAAGTCATCCCAAGCGGATTCGATCCTGAAACACAAGTGTTGGACTTCCCCGGTAACGACCTCCAAGTGCTCCAAAAAGAAACTTTTCACAAACTTAATTTGGTCAATCTCCAAAAGATTTATCTTCAAAGATGTAGATTGCAAAAAGTTGATAGTCAAGCGTTCTACGGCCTTCGCAATCTTGTCGAGTTGGATCTGTCTAATAATTACTTAACAGTCATACCATCTGCTAACTTTGAATACTTTCAAAATTTAATGAGGCTCTCACTGAACAACAATCCGATCACCAACATTAAAAGCAATTGCTTCCGCAGTTTATCATTTTTGAATACTTTGGAACTTACAGATTGCAAAATTGAAATTATAGAAAGGGATGCCTTTTCTGGGTTGCATCACCTTGAATGGCTGCGATTAAACGGTAACAAACTATCAAACATCCAAGGTGAAAATTTATTTCCCGATACGCTGCGAGGGATCAACTTGCAAAATAATAATTGGAATTGCGATTGCCATCTAAGGGATTTACATAGTTGGTTGTTGAATTTCAATATGCCGCACGCCGTCGAACCAATTTGTTCCCTTCCCGAACGTTTGAGGAAACGGACGATCACGAACGTGGCTGAAAATGAATTGGCATGCTTACCGAAAATAAACCCTACTACCATGTTTTTAGAGACGAACCTCGGCAGCAACGTGACTCTAGAATGCGTTGTGAAAGCGATACCCGAAGCGAAAATAACCTGGTCATATCAGGGTCAGATCATTCATAATTCTTCAAGCGACATGCCTGAGGCGCGCGATCTGTATTACGTCGAGAACGGTAATACCGACAAAAAGAGTGAATTATACCTGTTTAATATTGGTAATGAGGACAATGGTACCTATTCATGCTTAGCAGAGAATCCCGCAGGCAGATCGCGTGGCAACTTTACTATAAAGATATTAGTTAAAGAGGAGCCCGTAGTTGTAATAGTCACATTCCCTCAAAGACACTTGGTAGTCATAGTGACTGTCATATTTCTAATAATTATCTTGCTTATAGCCATTATAGCAGTAGTATTATTAAAGTATAAAACGGATTCACGAAGCAGAAAGAAAAAAGAAAGTGGAAAAGATGTTGCGTTATGTAACCAGATCCTGCCATCGAATCGGGGTAATGGCATGCCTAAAAATAACGGAAGCTTAATTGTAAACGCGCACTCTCATCACGCGTTGCACTATACGGTACAAACAAACCGTGATTACGAGTCGAGTAACATGTATCAAAGCAATAACATAAAAGGCTTTGTCGACAGAAACCCCGACCTAATTAGTGACGCGGAAACTGTAGCCAACAATGCTCAAAACGAGAACACAGCGTTATCAGTATACAAAGCTCAAACTGCGAGCGGTGACGTTTTCCAGGAGGAAACCGCTTTTACCGCACCGACAATACCTAGACAGGTCACGTGGCAAGATCAGCAGACCATGAATCCGACGCAAAGCACTCTTAACAACATGTACCAGCACTCAGCGGATGTACATCTGAATCCGGGATGCTTTTTAGATAACGAAGGCTACCCTTACGACTATGGCTTGCCAAAACATCCTTGTCGACCACCGTTAATGTCCAACTATTCCGTGGTGGGGCCTTTTTATCAGACGCTGCCTCACAATCGACCGAAAGGGCAGAAACTGATTTGTAAATTTGCGAAAGACACCGAGTTTAATGCGACGCCTCCCACTTGCCCTAATTTCGAAGTGTTCGGGCCGGGAAACGTGCGACGTACGTTAGACGGTTACCCGGTACCAAGGAATAGGCAAATAGCGTTTGTAGGGAACGGAACAGTGTATTATAATGAAGAGTTTGTACCGTCACCACCTGAAGGTTATAAAACAGAGCCAACTCAGTGTTGTGCGCCTCCAGAAGCTTGCCCATCGTGGGTGAGCCCTAAAGGGACTTGTGCAGTGATGGTGCCTATGAGTGTAACAGAAGGGCCCGGTAGGTGTTACCAGGTTGAAACGCGGTGCGTCGATACACAGACCACGGACGCTCGAATGCCCGCTGAAGGCACTGAAAGTGTGCTGAAACCCTTACCGCAAGTGTCAAACGCGAAGTGTGCGGCTGACATATGTTCCGAGAGCCCTGATGAGGGTTACGTGGGTGACGCTAACGATATCTGACGACGACGCCAGACCGATAGCGCTTAAACAGGGCAATTTAGACGCTAACAAAGTGATAAAGCGACTGAGTATAAGTAGTTTTGTAAATATACGAGCCTGCGGCGACGGAGAATAAAGGCGGAACTTCCATTACTTAGCGTACGATCCCGTTTGATCCCTGTTTTGCAATTTTATATTCTTTATAATACGATCCGTTCGGAACCGCCTTTGTTCGATATCGACGTCGGCAATGATTAAACAAATATCACTTCGGACATTTTTCTAGTCAAACTTCGTAGGACAACAGTGTTCTCCAATTACGTACGAGAAACGCACATTTATAAATACCTGTAGCAAACTTAATATTTAATTACTTTTTATTAATAGCTATCTTGTAATGAAAATATACTGGTAATCATATTTAAAAAAAGAATTAGTTTTTTACGGAACAAGATCTAGCAGGTCATTGAAAAACTCTGTTTAGAATATGTGTAAACTAATACATTAAGTTAGCAAGGTTTTTATTTTGAATTGTCGACAGTTTTCATAAATAACTTACTTCATTTTAGTAACAAAACTTTCGTTTTAACTTCATTTAAGTGCATCTTTAACATCTAAAACTAAAGGCGTTGTAACTTAAGACTAACACTTTGACATAAAATTAATAAATGTAAATTAACACAGGTATATGAACCAACGTATTTTATTCATTCACTAATTAATATTTTAGTTCTAATTAATAAGGTATTAGTTAAAAATAACCAAATTACTGAGACGGCATACATTTGATCATTATTTTGCAAACATTTACCTTGTTTAACATTACATTACAATTATGAGCATTACAAAATATTAATAACATGGCATGGCATGGCATTGACAATCAGGAAGGTTACAGGCTAAAGATACAAGTATTTTACTTAATTAATAATTAAACAGCGCTCTGGGTTCGGTGTTAATATTCATGAACGCCGTGTCAAAACTCCACGTGCCGATATACTCGTATACCTTAATACTTTGGTTAGGTTTTGCAATAAGATGTAACTGGGTACCCTCTTTGTGATTATGTAAACGTTTGAAGAAGAAAATTTGAACGAAATACTCATTTAAATGCGGAATCTTATTATAAAGAGTACTACAGAAAGATAATGAATATTAGAATATCAAAATCATTATACGAGTAAACTAAATTTAATTTATCTAAGAGCCGTTTCAATTTCAGAAGTGTTGGTGATACGAAAACTGATAAATATTAACGACAGCCTACATTACCTTTCATATAATGTTAGCAAGTGTAAAATAAGTAATCAAATTTCTGCCACTCCGACTCAAATAAAAATAAATTTCATCTAAAATCTTCCGACAATGCAATAATATAAATTCCTTTCACTTTACGGAGTGTAGCTGTTAATATATATTTACACTCAGGAATGTGTCTTCAATTTACTTTGTCATAATATAAGATATAAGATTGTATATAATTTGTAAATATTAGTGAATACTTACTTTCTGTAATGGCATAAGTAGCTGATGTTAAGAATTAAATTGATATCAGGGTATCCCCTAAACATAGATGTGGTGTTTCGATGACTTTTGTTTTATTGATTTTAGTTTTACGCAATATCTTATCATTGCTAAAGGTTACACAATAAATTTGTAAGTGTTTGTAAATTATCTACAATGGTAGGCAGACATAATATTAATTTTCACATGAATATTATTGGCGATAAAATTAAAGAATGGGTCGTTGAGCACTTTATAGTAATCATTGTTCGTGCTATTTTATTTGACGGTTGATTTATAATTCTAATAATGTCACCGAGGCTCTTAGATGATATTTATAACCATGAATTTGAAACTAATGACCGGTAAAAGTTTTATAAAATTTTGTATGTGTACTTATAATATGTTTGTTATTAAAGCAGAAACATTCGTGTTAGAACATGTTTACATATAACATTAAGTTAATTTTGAACTTAATATGAAATAAATAATTTATTACGTGATATGTGCAGATAAGCTATCGTCACGAGCAAAAAGATATAATTTATTACTAAATTCGATTAATTGTGTGTTACGTTACGTGTAAAACCTTTGTAACTATTATTTTGAATGTATTTATCTGCAGAAATAAAAGAAATTCCATCCGAAAATTGCAAAATACTTTGAAACACGTCACAATTGCTTAACACGGATAGAAAATCGAAAGCGTAAACCCGTAACATAAGCTTAGAGATATTCAAGTGAAGTCTGCGTTCGCTGAGATATTAAACGATATTCATGCCAACATAAACTTACAGTACAACCTTGAGTAATTATACCGGGGTTTGGATGGTATCCAAACTCATTAATAACTCTAACTATTAAAGAGACACTTCTACCAAATTAATTAACAAATTAATAGACTAACAATCTTAATACCCGGATCATAAGTTTTATATTTATTTGACACTCCGGATATGAGTTTGATAATAAAGAAGTTTGGAAGCAGGAAAAGTGACAGGTGCATGAAAAATTGAGTTAGAAAAGTTACATTAGGGTAAATGGCAGCTAGCTGGATAATGACGAGTGATAACTGTTACTGTGGGATATGTCAGAAACTTTAGGAGGTAACTAGAGGGTCTATTACTCAACGTCAGATCCGGTTAGACGCCGATATTAAAGAAGATCTTAAAGAAAGTAGGAAGTTTAGTACAGCAAAGAAGTGTGGACGTACTGTTCAAGAGACGGTGATAAATTGTTTTACCTTCGCCCGATAAAACACTATGAGGTTTTCTATTACAATTTAGCTTACTGAGTATGTGCAAGCTTTGTGATAAATACATTATAATCAATACATGCTAATTAATATGCTTTCAGTTCATTAATTGTTTAAAAGTTAGATATAAATATAAGTATGAAATCTCACGTAGGTAGCAAATTCACTACTATAACTATCGTATTTTATTTGTCATAAAACAATTGTTTTTTGTATGAAGCCCAATGCTTCACATTTTTATAATAAATTGTTACAAATGATTAAAACATAGTCAAAGAAACACCAACAATAGGGACATAAAAATGTAACACTATCTTTTGTAAGACGAATAATTAAATCTTTCTTTTTTAATGAGGTAATAATAGCAATAAATAAATCTATGGATTCTGTCTTTAGTTATGTAATTCATACAGCTAATAATAAGTTGGACTTATAACATGAAACCTGTAACTTTGTCTGTTGTGAAGTGATTGCCACGAAATTTGTAGTTCACTGTATGTGTACAACTTCACTCGTGTCATTTTCTAAGAACGTTTAAACCATAAGAACTGATTAATTGTAATTATCATTTATGTTTTTGTTTAACTACTAAAAATACAAAAGTTATTTATTCAGTCTTTATGAATATTTTATATACTGATTACAAACTAAAATCAGAATAAAGTCTATTTGAATATTTCAGAATTTCACCACAATAGAATGTATTGTATTTTACTTTGAAATTGTATACTGTCTCCTTGAAACAATGAAAACAGAATAAATAATTTAGTAAATTGAATGTTACACAACGAAATTTAATCTGCCTGTGTAGTCTTTTAATCACGGGACTCAAATTGTAATGTAATCAAAGTTTAAAACTCAGACTTCTGTTATTTATTATTATTTAAATGTATTTTTTTTTTAAATTAGTACAATGGTTTAAGCGGTAGCATCGCCACTCATAGCATACGCTGAGTGTTGTGGGTCCGATCCCCACATAGGACGACACTTTGTGTGCTCCACAAATTGTTGTTCTGAGTCTGACTGTTATTAGTGTCCGTTTCATGTATGTTTTTAAAGTCGCTCGCGATACAGGATATATACCTAATGCGAGAGTTGTATTTTAAAAACGAAATAAAAAATTACTTATAATAAAACAATGATTTTTATGTTAAATTTTGTGCCAACCACATCACAACAGCCCAACTAGACACCTACAAGGACGTGTATAAACCAGGTTCAAACTAACAGACTGGATAGATCACGATTTGAATGGCACAAAAATATCACGATGTTAATCCTTAGTGAAAACAAATTGTAGATGTGCATGAACATTGGAATAAAACTGTATTTTTAATAATGTTTTTGATTTTATCACCTTTATTAAATGAAACCAATAGACTCGTGTATGAAAATATAATATTAAACTATACTAAATAAAATAAAAACGAATTAATCACAGTCTATTTATATCAAACACAGTCTCCGAGAAACGATGCATCATCCTTGTCATTTGACGACCGGATGGCGTAGTGGTTTGTGTAACGGACTGCTATTCTAAAGGTCGCGGGTTCGATTCCCGCTCAAGTCAAACATTTGTGTGCATGAACATTTAATGTTTGATTTGGTGTGGGTGTTTCTATGTATAATATGTATGTATTTACAAAAAAAAAGTATATATGTGACTAAATCAGTTGTCTAGTAGCCATAATGCAAGCTATGCTTAGTTTGGGACTAGATGGCGTTGTGTAAATGTGGTACAATATTATTATTATTATTGTTATTTCTGCCATCCTCGCAAAGACGCACGCCCCTGACGTAGTGGTTTAATAATAATAATAAAACTTTATTGCGAACACAAGATTAATAAGGGTAAATACAAAAAAAAAACACAAAAAAAGTAGAAAGAATTATCCTGCCATTTTAATCTAGGGCCTGTACATACATGACGTCATTATTCTTTCTGACAGGCTTCTTATAATGGTATTCTTACACCAGTCTCTGGACATGAATTTTACTATACGGTTTCTCTGGATGGCTTCAAAGGAGTTAACTCGAGCCTCGAAGTACTTTCGGAAGGGCTACAGTAGCCTGGTAGTCCAATAAGTTACCTAAAGATGTTGTTGTAGGCAACTCGAATACTACTCGTAATAATCGATTTCATCGTATAATTAGTCCAAAGTTGACAAGTTTAGAATATCTGAAAAAAGAAGCAAAACAATGTTACTTTAACGTCTGGGGAAGACTTACACTATTTCTTACTAATCTTGTTGCCCACAACACA